CCTCGCCATGGGGGACGTGCTGTCCACGCACCTGGACGACGCCCGGCGCCAGCACATCGCAGGTGAGGAAAGCGCAGCCCGCGCGGGGGGTTCCGCCGGGAGCCCCCGGGCCACGCCCCCACCGGGCCCCGGCGTCCTGGCCCGGGAGGGTCCTGCGAGAGTCAGGCCTGAGGCCAGGCGGGAGCTGGTGCGGACCGTGCCCTTCGACTTGTTCCCTCCGAGACTGGGCACCCCTTCTCGTCCCCTTCTAAGCTCTTCTCCATCTTAAGGAGACTAGGACCCCGCCTTCACTACCGTAACTCCCGTGGGGCCCGCTTTGAGGATCCCCCACCCATTACCCCAGATCGAGCATCTAAGGGGTCGCATCCTGTCTCCGCACCCTGCCCAGCAGCGTTCCAAGCCCACCCTGTACCCTGTCTGGAATTTGCCCCACACAGCCAGATCGTCCTGACCCTTTTCCGTAGCTGCCCTGGCCCCAGCTCGCCCTGGCCCCAGCCCCAGTACACGTGGCTAAAGCTTCCAGGGGAAGGGCCCTCTAGGGCCCAGGACAGATCCAGACAGTGGGACTAGCGACAGACGGGGATTCGCTGGAGGGGGTGGGGTCTCTGTCCTTTGACTCAGACTCTGTAGGGTGCTCCTGCTGGCAGCAGCAGCCCGATGGGCTGGTCAAGGCCAGAGCCAGCCCTTTCAGGTCCAGTCCGCAACCCCTTCCTTCAGCCAGTCCTGCTTTCAGCCTGTCACTGCTCTGTGGCCTCTTCTCAGAAAGGAGCTGCCCAGAAAGCTCATGGGGAAGCCCCAGGGTTCTGGGCTCCTCCTGGAGAATGGGAGATGGGGTGAGACTGTCAGGCTGACTGAGAACCCCTGCTCTGGCTGCCCTTCTGGGGCAGAGAGGCCGCCCCTGGTGGAGTCCAGCGCTTGTTTCCCAGGCATTCCATCTTGGACGAGTTTCTTAATGTCCTGGCACCTTGGCTTTTACCTCTTTGAAATGGGATCAGTGACACCCTTATGATGGGCTGCTGAGAGACCTAAATAAGCCATTTCATGTAGCTTGCTTGGCACATGGCCTGGCATAGAGGAGGCACTGATACTGGGGTGACAGGTGAGTTGGGTGGCAGGTCATACAGAGAGGAGAGTTTCTCTTGCCTCCGTTGCCGGCCTGTCTGGTGGACCCCGCGTTCCCTGTCTGTGTATATTTATCTGGATGCCCTGTAGAGTTTCTCAGCTGTGTTCTCTGTCCTCTCTAGATAGCAAGGACGCCTTAAGAGTAAGGACCAGGTGTTCCTTAACCTCAAGTCCCTAGGTCCCCACCCTGGTTGGGCACAAGGGAGGTGCTGGAGGAGCCCTGCCAGGGACTGTAGCCTTTGGCTGGTGGCCTGAACTCTCTTTTGTGCCAGGCCCCGGGCTGGGCACAGGGGCAGGGATGATATAAAATGAATCAGACCCTTTAGCCTCCGACCAGTGGGGGGGTTAAGTCCTGGAAGCCTCTTGCAGGAGGAGGCCTGGACTCTGGAAGGAGGAAGGGCCTGGGCGGAGCTTTCCTGTTGGTGGCAACCTCCTGGGGCTCAGTAACAGTCCCTCCATTCAGGACCTCCTGTTGGGGCCCCTCACCAGGCTTGGGTGGGGTGTGCTGCTCTTTGGCGGGTTTTTTTCCTCTCTCCAAGCCCAGCTCAGCTCTCCCATCTTCTCAGCTCCTGGGCTGAGAGCTGCCAGGCCACCCCCTGTCCCCCTGGCCACTTACAGGGTGGAGACAGCCACAGAAGGTGAAGTGTCCGCTGCTGGAGAAGGCTGGGTTTGTTACCAGGCTGGAGAGGAGAAGGTTTGCAGCCTCTCTTCCCAACACTTGAGTGCTATTAATAACACTCTTCACATGCCTCGGATTCCGGACAGGCTCACCTGAGGGGGCTCCTGAAGTTCAGGGGTGGGGAGGGGACTGCTGGGAGGGGAGCCAGAGGAAACAGCTGCCCTGGAAATGTACTGGAGAGGAATGAGGCCAACCTTTGCCACCTCCAGCCATCCGTGCACCCGCCTCAACCAGCTAACAGAGCAGTGGGTACTTCTAGAGCAGACAATTAGAACTCCAGATCCCTCCCTACCTGGGACGGCCCCTGTAGAAATGTCACCTCTGGGAACATGCCTTCCCACAGTGCCCTGAGCTCCCAGGCCTGTTGGGTAGCTGTGGCTTGGCCTGCCGCCTTACGCCTGCTCTGAGCAGGTGCAGGTGAATGCCAGCCTGCAAGTCCTGGCAGAGGTCAGGCCTGCCCCTGCCCACCCTGCTGTTTTTGCACCTTTCATCCTGAGATTTCAAAGCCTCTGGCAGGCAGGGGCTTGTTCCTGCACCAGCAGCCTTGGAGCTGTCGCAGGATGGTTACCTCCTACCTGGTAAGGGAGAGGGAAGAGTCCTGGCCTGGGAGCCCTCAGGCCTGAGTAACCTCAGGCATCTGGGCCTTGGTTTCCAGAGCTGTGTGCCACCGAAGACCAAAGTCCCATTCAGCTCTAGGGCCTAACCATTTCAAATTTTCTCAGGAAATCTCCAGGCTCAGCCAGCTCAAGGCCCCAATATAGACTTCACCAAGCCTTAGTTGGCCTGACCTTGGGCCAGCATCTCAGTCTCAGTTTTCTTATCTATAAAATGGGAATAATAATAGAAGCTACCTGCTAGGCACACCTGGGAGGACTTAATGTGATAAAGCAGGTAAGAAGCTCAGCCTAGTGCTGGGGGCTTAGGAAGCTCTCAGCAAACAGTTGCTACTGTCTTTGAACTTGCATTTTACTTTGTGTAAGTGGGTTCTCAGAGAGCAGGGCAAGGGGCTAGTGTCGTAGCTATGGTTTCTCAGAGGTTTGTTCATTCAATTCCTAGAGTCAGGAGGGCAGATCCCTGGATTTGAGAATCCACCTGGGGTTTTGGAAGCCTTGACTGCTGTGTTCCTTCAGCCTTGGCAAAAGTGTGAGTGATGTGGGCTCTTTGGAGCTGGTCCAGATGCTAAGGCATATGATGAGTGACACGAGCTAGAACTTATACAGGTGGCTGGATTAGGACAGCCTACTCTTTCCCTTTGGGCCCTTTTATGGGGGGTCTCCGAGCTGTCTGAGGGATTCTATGCAAATGATCTGAGCTACATAAAGTAAGATGCCACAGGTGACTGGGTGAGGGTTGGGGACTGTGTCCCTAGTAGGACACCTGGCATTACCTGGGTTGGGGGAATCCCTTTCTGTGTCTGGGACAACCCTGAGGACTCAGCCCACCCCACATACTCTGTAAGGTTTGCAAGGTTTATCCCTGAGAGGGTGGGCATTCCTAGCACCTGTGCTTCTGTGCTCCGCCTCTCTGCAGGTCTCACCTTTCCCCTGGCTAGGTCTTTTCTTTTTTATAGCAGCTTTATTGAGACATAATTCACATAGTGTGCAATCCTCCCACTGAAACTGTACAATTCAGTGGTTTTTAGTATATTGATGATTGCGCAACCGTCGCCACACTCGATTTTAGAACATTTTCAACACCCATAAAACGAGCTCTGCACCCAGGGGCAGTCTCCGTCCTTTCCCCACAGTCCTCCAGACTCCAGGCAACCTTTGTCTCATTGCAAAAGTAATGCATGCAGCAACGGAGGCTGGGAAGGTAGAATAGGAGCGCTCCACCGGGCGTGGTGGTTGGGGATCCAGCTCCGCGGTAATCCCAGTGGTCAGGAGGCTGAGGCAGGAGGATTGAGTTCAGAAGCCAACCTCAGCAATTTAGCAAGGCCCTTAGTAACTGAGCAAGACCCTGACTCTAAATTAAATATAAAAAAAGGCTGGGGATGTGGCTCAGTGGTTAGGTGCCTCTGGGTTCAATTCCCAGTACCAAAAAACAAAAACAAAAACCCCTAAATGGGAGCTCCTCCATCTTCCTTCTCAGGCATCCTTCCCTGGGAAGAAATGATTTGCTTGGCTTGTCACCGATTCCAAGCATACCTTTCCTGGTGTGCACTCATTCACAGAGCCTTGTTTACAAAGGAGATTCTATTCTGTGTTTCTGTGGTTTGACTTTTTTCCACTGGGTAAATTGCGGACATCTTCCCACGTGGGATACACAAGCCTGCCCCTTTCTTCAGTGGTGGGTCCGTGTGCCGGGGTGGTTTATTTAGCCAGCCCCTGGTAATTGGCGTTGGGTCGTCCTTTGCTAATATGCGCAGGGTGTGGCTTGAGCCTCTTTGTAAATATCCTGCACAAGAAGCTGGTATCATGCCTCAAAATGGAACTCCCGGGAAACATTTTGATATATTGACATAGAGCCTTTGAAAAGGTGGGGAAGACCCTCTTGCCAGACAAACCTCAGTATTGTCACTTGATGGAACTCATGTCCAGGCAAGTGCTCTGCCACTGAGCTAGATCTCCAGCCCTTTTTGACCACTGGATAAGAGGAAAAAGGTATCCTGTTTATTTATTGAGTAAAACAAATAATGACTTTTTCCAAATTGATTTAAAAAAATCTCCTTCTCCACATGTGGGAGTGGCTACAGTTGCCAGAAGAAAAGGGATGCTGTTCTGCTTTCGGGGCCACCCTTGCCCTGGTGTGGGGCTTCCTGGGCTTTGCAGAGAGGCCTGGAGAGGAAGCAGTGCCCAGGCTGCCCCCTGCCAAGGTCTGGGTCAGCCCCTGGAGTGAAGCGTCTGGGGACCTGGCTCCCTGGGGCCCAGTCTTACATAAGCCCTTTTGTTGGCTTTGACCCCGCCCTCCCCTCGCCCAGTCTCCTGAAGTCCTCTACTCTGTTCCTCTCCTACTGCCCTCCCTGAGCTCTGACCTCCTGGGGGCCTCCCGCCTCAGCCCCAGGCCTTCCCACACAGGATGCCAAAAGGGACCTTTCTCAACTCCAACGCGGCTGGCTACCCTCCCTGCTGCAGGAGAGAGGAGAGGAGCCGCTCACCCCGCCCTGCCGCCTCTCCCCTCTTGTAGTATTTCCCTCCTGAGTTTATTTTATGTGTGGCTGAGACTGTGACTCAAGCCTGGATCTTGCTTCTTTTCTAAACGATTTGTAATAAACATCTCTCCCAGGTCCTTCGAGCCTCCCTGGAAACACTCTGGATGCTG